GCACGCGCCCTATAGCAAAAACCTCTCAAAAAAACCCCAAAACTTGTGATTTGTTAATTCTGTGTTAGACAGTGAAATGGTCATTTTATATCAGAATAATGTTTTAGGAGACATCAGGTGATTAGAATATCATCGGTTTTCGAGACCGTCTCTGACTTTTCTGGGACGATATCCTTGAGGACAGAAAGTATCACATGCTTTTTTTGCATTCCCATGCACATGTTTTGCCAAATTTAATGGAAAGTATAAGCAGAAAAAACCTGAAATAGAATCAGATAAATTAGCTTAAAGATTCAAGAAGTGGCCTTCAAGACATAATTGTTCTTTTTCACAGCTGCTCCCAGACAGTGCATTGAACTTTACTTTGATGAAAAGTACTCCATTGAACCGTCTTGGGAGTGCAAATTTGATCACATTGAAGTTCGAGATGGACCTTTTGGCTTTTCTCCAATCATTGGACGTTTCTGTGGACAGCAAAATCCACCTGTAATAAAATCCAGTGGAAGATTTCTATGGATTAAATTTTTTGCTGATGGAGAGCTGGAATCTATGGGATTTTCAGCTCGATACAATTTCACACCTGGTAAGTAGAAGCTTTTAGTTTTTCTTCACCTATGTCTTTGCGTCGTTGGTTTTCTATCTTCGTAATAACAAAATCTTTTGTAAGACAAAGCTATAATTTTTTCAAGGATTTTGCAGTTCTGTTTAAAACAACCTACAATGCTCTGTCTTTTCCCTTCATAAATTCTGAAAGGAAAACAAATTTTCCTGAAACTTAGCCTACCCAGGAGGTAAAGCATGGCAACTCAGGGTATAAATGGTCATCAGCAATTCAGTGAATTAAATAGACTTCCATTGTGCTGAAATGTGTAATTTGAGAGACAGTCTAATTATACCAGGATCCCAATAAACTTGAAGGAAGGGAACTAATTAAACATAGGATCCCAATAAACTTGAAAAGGCAATTGTAGGATTATAAAATGTGTCCATAAAAATGATCTTTGGAGTACTTAGACAAAATGTTTATTTGTTCTGAAAACTGTCATTTTTAAAGCAAATTGGTCCTACTTTAAGACAGTTTCATCTCTTTTTAGGAAAGCAAATTTCTGAGTATTGTTGAAACTGAGACCTCTAGCAAACAAATATTCATTCGCAAGGTCTGGTGGACATTATTTGCAGTTGTAAAATCATGCTGTTTTTGTCAAATATTCTTTGAACTTACTAAAATTAAAAAGGCCTGTGTCTGTGATGTTGACTGACTCTTATGAAGGGTTATCACTCATTATAATAAAAACTGGTTATGACTTTTGTTTGTTTGTTTTTTGGCCGGTGGCCTCCAAGCTCACAGAGAAAAGGCCCCCCTGATGGGGCATGGTTATGCTTCAGTCCTTTCGCTCCTATTTCTCCCTTCTGTCAGGATTTTGGACATGCATGCGCATGCCCTTGGTGTGTTTTTCAGGCCTCCAGGTTGTAATTAAAATAACGGTGGGCCATGTGGGACCCATCTTCCTGTGCATAGCGCTTAACCACTCTGCTCCAAGCCTACTGGGTTATTGCATTTCAGAGCACCAAGTTCATCAATTTGAGATTTGATGAAATAACGCCTTTTTTTTAAGTGGAAAATTATTTCATTTACATAGGGAGCAATATATATAATTTCATGTGTTTTGTTTTTGCTTTTGTTTTTTATTTCTTTTTTTTCAGTCCGTATGCTTTGTTTTACTTAGATTATGACAGGGAAAAGGATAGTTTAAAAAAATACGTAACTTCTCTTAAAGTTTCTATTCCATGTTATAGTGCTAACAAGTAAACAAGACTGATGCTTATGTATTCTTAAACTATATAAGATTAATGATAACTTTCATTATGACATTGTGGTATAAAATAAATCAGATAGTAACTATATCATATGTGTGAAACTTAAATATTAAGAATATTTTCATAATACATTAAGGAGTTATGGTTTTAATTATGGTATTTCACATGCCACGATCAAACTAATTTGATATGTTTTGAAAGGGCATAAATATTTAGATTGTGTTATCTGTCAAGATTATTAGTGCTAGAGCTATAAATGGAACTAGGTATGTTAGTTCTTAACTAATCATTTTAGATGTAACTTGTCCTAAAGATAGTGTTATGTGGAATGACCTGGTCTTTCATAAGTTACGTTTCCATTCTGGTTTTGGCGATTGTGAAAATATGTGCAGGACTGAAAATCATGGTTTCATAAAGAATGTAGTAACGTAAGCAACACTATTCATGTTTTTGGCTTTACTTGAAATAATATGAATGGTGACAGTTTCCTATTCTAAGTTTTAGAAAGCCACTTAGGGGTCTAGAAGATGGTGCAATGGTAACATTGCCGGACTCCCACTTAGTCGACTGCAGTTCGAATCTTGAACCAGCAGCTCAAAAATCTCACCGAATGTATTTGCATGCTTGTCTGAAGTCCTGAGAGGAAAATAGAGGAAAAACAAAGGGAACCAGCAGTTAGTGTAATGGCTATGTCGCTGGACTCCCACGTAGTTGACCACGGTTTGCGTCCCAGACCTGGTGGCTTAAAACTCACGCCCGGCGCGTGTGCATGCGTGCCCAAGATCCCGAGAGGAGAATGGAGGAGAAGGGATTTCGGCGTGGCCATCCCCCCTGGGGGGTGATTTCTCGCTTTCTGTCTCTATGTCGCTCTCTGTCTGTCTGGCGAGCGCATGCGTCCTGTAGAGAATACCTCTCCAAAAAAAAAAGAAAAGATTGCAGCATGGCCATCCCTCTGGGGGGTGATTTCTTGCT